TATTTTTTGAGTTGGAGTCTTAGTCTGTTTCCCAGGCTGAAGTGCAGTGACACACTGCTCATGGCAACCGCATCCTCGACTTGCTGGGCTTAGGCAGTCCTTCCACCTTAGCCTTCCATGTAACTGGAACCACAGTCCTGCACCACCACACCTGGCTAATTTTTTGATTTATTGTAGAGACAAGGTTTCACCATGTTGTTCAGGTTGGTCTCAAACCCCTGCGCTGAGGCAATCCTCTTGCCTCTGCCTCCCATAGTGCTGGGATTACAGGCATGAGCCAATGTGCCCGTCAGGCATTGCTGTTTCTTATTGAAGGCTTTACAATGTCATGTAACTGATGAGTTTTATTGCATACATCTACTGTGACCCGATGTTAGGAATGTTTTTAGGAAGTATGCTACATTTTTAAGGTTGCCTCAGTTTGTTTCTTTTTTTTTTTGAGTTGGAATCTTACTCGGTCGCCCAGACTGGAGTGCAGTGGCCGCTTCCGGCCACCACAGTCTCGACCTGCTGGGCTCCGGAAATCCTTCTGCCTCAGCGTTCCAAGTAGCGGGAATTACAGGCATGCGCTACTACGCCCGGCTGACTTTTTGATTTATTGTAGAGATGAGGTCTCGCTGCCCAGGCGGGTCTCGAACCCGCGGGCTCAGGCAATCCACTCACCTCAGCCTCCCAAAGGCGCGAGATTACAGGCTGAGACACCGAGCCCGGCTTATTTTCTTTCTTATGGCCAAGATGAACAGTGGATTTAGATCTAGGGGAAGAAAACTCCTTCAAGATCATGCTGCCAGTTTTTAGAAATAATCACGTTGTATGGTCTTAACTGCAATGGAAAGGTCCAGGCTGGAGTGCAGTGCAAAGGCAGAGTTAGAATTTCAGAAATGATGGTGTACTATAGGTATTAGTTGTTGAAATGTACTAACTAGTCGGGCTTGGTGGCTCAGCCTGTAATCTCGTGCCTTGGGAGGCCGAGGTGAGGGGATTGCCTGATCCCGCGGGTTCGAGACCCACCTGGGCAACTTGGTGAGACCTCATCTCTACAACAGATAAAAAAATTAGCCGTGTGTGGTAGCGTGCGCCTGTAGTTCCAGCTACTTGGAAGGCTGAGGTGGAAAGATCACCGGAGCCAAGCAGGTTGAGGCTGTGGTGGCCGGGAGCGGCCACTGCACTCCAATCTGGGGCGACAGAGTGAGACTCCAACTCAAAAAAAAAAAAAAAAAAAAGAAGTGTAGTAATATACATTTCTCAATACATGAACAAACAAATAGTTCCTTTTTTGTTCAAAGAACAACTATTTTTATGGTATTGGATATATATTAAATTTTACATATGATAACTTACAGAAAATTATTTTCTAATTAAATTCCAAAGTTAGATTGGTAATCGAAAGTGGAGATGTTATCTGACATAGGAAGCATCTTTGGAAATCATGGTAGATGTGTTGTAGATATGTTATTAACTTCTTTTTCTCAGCTGGATGTACTTCTTTCATGCCTGTAATCCCAGCACTTAGGGAGGTGGAGGTGAGAGGATTGCCTCAACCTTGGGGTTTGAGACCCGCATAAGCAACTTGATAGGACCTCGTCTGTTCAATAATTCAAAAAATTAGCTGAATGTGGTGGTACACGCCTGCAGTTCCAGCTATTTGGAAGGCTGAGGCAGAAGGATCGCCTGAGCCCAGCAGATCAAGGTTGCAGTGGCCGTGAGTGCCATTGCACTCCGGCCTGGGCGACAGAGTAAGACTCCAACCCCCCCTAAAAAAACCATTTTGTAATAAATTAATTTTTGATGCTCTGAATGTCAGCTGAATCTATGTGAAAGCTCTAAAGTTTGGTGGTTGTTTTTTTTGGGTCGGAGTCTCACTCTGTCGCCCAGACTGGAGTGCAGTGGCCGCTCCTGGCCACTGCAGCCTCGACCTGCTGGGCTCCGGCGATGCTTCCGCCTCAGCCTTCTGAGTAGCTGGAATTACAGGCATGTGCTACCATGCCCGGCTGATTTTTTGATTTATTGTAGAGTTGAGGTCTCGCTGCCCAGGCGGGTCTTGAACCCGCGGGCTCAGGCAATCCACTCACCTCAGCCTCCCAAAGGCGTGGGATTACAGGGTGAGTCACCGAGCCCGGTGGTGGGTTTTTGTTTTTTTTGGAGTTGGAGTCTTACTCTGTCCAGGCTGGAAGGCAGTGGCACACTCATGGCCACCCAGCGTCGACTTGCTAGACTCTAGCAATCCTTCCACCTCAGCCTTCCAGTAGTTGGAAGTACAGGTGTGTGCTACTACACCTGTTTAATTTTTTATTTTATTTTATTGTAGAGACGAGGTTTCACCAAGTTCCCGGGGCTGGTTTCGAACCCAGGGGTTCAGGCAATCCACTTGCTTCGGCCTCCCAAAGTGCTGGGATTACAGGCTGAGCCACCGAAACTGTCCTGCTTGGTGGTTGTTAAGTAGAAAGTATAAGTTATTGTTCCTAACCGTCATTAAATTTGCACTGATGACCTTTTCCACATATTAATTTTCTCATTTTGGGTTTATTATTGACTTAATGTTTTTTTAAAAAAAGAATCTATTCGCTTAAAAAAATCAAATGTATTTCTTTTAAAAAAATAGAAAAGCATTCTTTTATTTATTTATTTATTTATTTATTTATTTATTTGAGTTGGAGTCTCTTTCTGGCACCCAGACTGGAGTGCAGTGGCATGCTCCCGGCCACTGCAACCTTGACCTGCTGGGCTCTGCGATCCATCCGTCTCAGCCTTCCAAGTAGCTGGAACTACAGGCGTGCACTACCATGCCTGGCTAATTTTTAGATTTATTGTAGAGACGAGGGTTTCCCAAGTTGCTTGCGTGGGTCTCGAACCTGCGTCTTCAGGCGATGCATTCGTCTTAGCCTCCCAAAGTGCTGGGATTATAGGCTGAGCCACCGAACCCAGCCGGAAAACCATTCTTATTGTGATAAATAAAAGGTAACCATAAACACGAAAACTGAAAGAAAACAATGGTAATAAATTCTAGTTGGATTCTATTGACAACATACACCTTTCAGCCTGAAACTTGTACTCTGTGTTGAGAAGGGAGTTCAGAGCCGGGCTCGGTGGCTCAGCCTGTAAACCCCTGCATTTGGGAGGCTTTGGTGAGTGGACTGCCTGAGCCCGCGGGTTCGAGACCCACCTGGGCAACTTGGCGAGACCTCATATCTACAATAAATCAAAATGAGCCGGGCATGGTAGTGTGCACCTGTAATTCCGGCTACTCGGAAGGCTGAGGTGGAAGGATCACCGGAGCCCAGCAGATTGAGGCTGCGGTGGCCGGGAGCGGCCACTGCACTCCAGTCTGGGTGACAGAGTGAGACTCCAACTCAAAAAAAAAGAAAGGAGTTCAAAAAGTGTTAAAGAAGTGTTAAACAGCCGGGCTTGGTAGCTCAGCCTGTAATCCCACGCTTTGGCAGCCTAAGATGAGTGCATTGCCTGAGCCCCTGTGGGTTCGAGACCTGCCTCAGCAACTTGGCGAGACCTCATCTGTACAATAAATCAAAAAATTAGGCAGGCGTGGTAGTGCACGGCAGTAGTTCCAGCTACTTGGAAGGCTGAGGTGGAAGAATTGCCGGAGCCCAGCCGGTCAAGGCTTTGGTGGCTGGGAGCGTGCCAATGCACTCCAGACTGGGTGACAGAGTGAGACTCTATCTCAAAAAAAAAAACGTTAAAGACATATTAGCACTGAACTGAGACCTTGTCCTTGATAGTATCTGTGATGAAGGAAATGAAATAAGACTTGCTTTCGCGCTGTGATTCAGTTCTATTTTTTTTCTTCTTTTTTGAGTTGAATTCTCACTCTGTCACTCTGGCTGGAGTGCAGTGGCACGCTCATGGCCAACTCGGTGTTGAACTGCTGGGCTCCCATGATCTTTCTGCCTCAACCTTCCAAGTAGCCAGAACTACAGGCATACACTACCATGCTTTGGTAATTTTTTTTTTCTTTACTGTAGAGATGAGGTCTTGCCAAGTTTCCTGTGCTGGTTTCAAACCCAGGGGCTCACCTTGGCCTCCCAAAGTGCTGGGATTACAGTGCTATTTAATGTCCAGGTTTTTTTGAGTTGGAGTCTCACTCTGTCACCCAGACTGGAGTGCAGTGGCCGCTCCCGGCCACCGCAGCCTCGACCTGCTGGGCCCTGGCGATCCTTCCGCCTCAGCCTTCCAAGTAGCTGGAACTACAGGTACGCGCTACCAGGACCGGCTAATTTTTTGATTCATTGTAGCGATGAGGTCTCCCCAAGTTGCCCTGGTGGGTCTCGAACCCTCAGGCTCAGGCAATCCACTAACCTCAGTCTCCCAAAGTGTGGGATTACTGGCTGAACTACCGAGCCTGGCTTGTCCAGGTTTTTTTTTTTGGAACACACTGTAAGGTATTTGCATGAAAAAAAGAAAAGTCACTTATGTTTTCTGTTTTTTTTTTTGAGTTGGAGTCTCATTCTGTAGCCCAGAGTGGAGTGCAGTGGCCACTCCCGGCCACTGTAGTCTCGACCTGCTGGGCTCCGGCGATCCTTCCGTCTCAGCCTTCCAAGTAGCTGGAACTATAGGCATGCGCTACCATGCCTGGCTGATTTTTTGATTTATTGTAGAGATGAGGTCTCGCTGCTCAGGGGGGTCTCAAACCTGTGGGCTCAGGCAATCTACTCACCTCAGCCTCCCAAAGGCGCGGGAATACAGGCTGAGCCACCGAGCCCGGCTATATTTTCTCTTTAAAAGGTAGAAGGAAAGGGAGGAATAATAGGCTCTGGAGATCCCATATCAGAAGAATGAGCTGTTAAGGTGCCTTTAGAGACGAAAGGCTTGGCTGAGATTTATAGATGGGTCTACATTTTTTGGGTAAAGAAATTTGCAGTCCAGCACCAGCTTTCTAGCCACTCATCTGCCTTTTCTGTTGGTGTCATATTTCTGTTTGTCTTCTTTGGCACTCAGAATAATCTAGCTGTTTGAATTGCTCACGCACTGTTTTTGGAATTCACTAGAGGATAGTGGAAAATGAGAAGATTAATGCAGAAAAGTCATCAAAACAGAAGGTGGATCTCCAGTCTTTGCCCACTCGCGCCTACCTGGATCAGACAGTTGTGCCTATCCTATTACAGGGCCTTGCTGTGCTTGCAAAGGAAAGGTAAGATCATAGAGTCTACAGGTGGGGTTAGTAGAGGAAGCAAAATGGACTTCCCTAGCTGAAGCAGTCCTTTTGTATAATAGCTTTTTTATTTACTATGTAATTTATGGATGTTAAAGTTTTTTAACAAGTTTTCAGCCATAATCTCCTAATCAGATATTTTCTTTTTCTACCTGTCAGAGCATATGCATATTTGTAAAGATTTGTAATCATGGTTTATATGTAATTTTGTATCTTCTTTTTACTTAATATTAGGACATGAGTTTTTCTTTTCTTTTTTTTTTGAGTTGGAGTCTCACTCTGTCACCCAGACTGGAGTGCTGTGGCCGCTCCCGGCCACCACATCCTCGACCTGCTGGGCTCTGGCGATCCTTCCGCCTCAGCCTTCCAAGTAGCTGGAACTACAGGCACGCCCTACCACGCTTGGTTAATTTTTTTTATTTATTGTAGAGATGAGGTCTCACCAAGTTGCCCAGGCAGGTCTCGAACCTGTGGGCTCAGGTACTTCACTCACCTTGGCATCCCAAAGCGTGGGATTACAGGCTGAGCCACCAAGCCCGGCCATCAATTTTTCCTATATCTCGCTGTAGTCTCTATGATTATCATTTAAACGATTACAAATCACATTTAACCTAGCCATTTTCCCATTGTTGAACATTTATGTCTAATTCCCTTTGTTGTTTTTATTTTTATTTTTGTGTCTCTCTCTGTCGCCCAGACTTGAGTGCAGTAGCATGCTCCTGGCCACTGCAGCCTCGACCTGCTGGGCTCCGGCGATCCTTCCAAGTAGCCGGACCCACAGATGCATGCTACCATACCCCACTAATTTTTTATTTATTGTAGAGATGAGGTCTCGTCAAGTTTCCAGGCAGTTCTTGAACCTGTGGGCTCAGGCAATCCGCTCACCTTGGCTTCCCAAAGCGCTGGGATTACAGGCTAAGCCACCGAGCCCGGCCTCCCTTTATTATTATAGGTCATCGGGTAGTTTATCTATTTTGTGTTGTTTTTTTTTTGAGTTGGAGTCTCACTCCGTCGCCCCAGCTGGAGCGCAGTGGCACGTTCATGGCCACCCCAGTGTCGACCTGCTGAGTTCCTGGGGTCCTTCCTCCTCAGCCTTGCAAGTAGCCAGAACTACAGGCACGTGCTACCACGCCTGGCTAATTTTTGATTTATTGTGGAGACTAGATCTAGCCAAGTTGCCCAGGTGGATCTTGAATCCGCAGGCTCAGGCAATCCTGTACATTTGGCCTCCCACAGTGCTGGGATTACAGGCTGAGCCACGGAGCTCGGCCCCAGTTTATCTGTTTTCATGCTTCATTTGCCTTTGTTTAATTACTTTCTTTCAGTAAATTTCCAAGAGTTGGTTTACTAGTTCAAAGGACACAACTATTTTTATGGTGTCTGACATATAATCCCAAAGTGGTAGGATTATAGGCATGAGCCACTGCTCCTGGCCCTAAAATACTATCATATTTCTGTCCAAATGTTCTTAAAAGTATTCCAGTGTTACTGTAGCCTCAGTAACACTAGTGTTATAAACTTTTTTGTGAAGTTTTAATTTACATTTCTTAGCAAGATTGGAGTTACTTCTCTTTTTTCTGCGTGTTTTTCTCCAGTAATTCTTTTTTTGGAGTTGGAGTCTCACTCTGTCACACAGACTGGAGAGTGCAGTGGCAAACTCCAGGCCACCGCAGCCTCGACCTGCTGGGCTCTGGCGATCCTACCGCCTCAGTTTTCCAAGTAGCTGGAACTACAGGCGAGTGCTACCACGCCCAGCTAATTTTTTGATTTATTATAGAGATGAGGTCTCACCAAGTTGCCCAGGTAGGTCTCGAACCCATGAGCTCAGGCAGTCCACTCACGTCAGCCTCCCAAGGTGAGGGATTACAGGCTGAACCACCGAGCTCGGCCTGTTTGTTTTTTTTTTTTCATCTGGAGTTTCATTCTGGTGCCCAGGCTGGAGTGCAGTAGCATGCTCACAGCTACCACAACCTCGACCTGCTGGACCCAGGTGATCCTTCTACCCTAGCCTTTCAAATAACTGGAACTACAGCCATTTGCCACCATTCCTAGCTAATTTTTTTGATTTATTGTAGAGATGAGCCTCACCAAGTTGCCTAGCCTGGTCTTCTACACATGGGCTCAGACAGTCCTCTCACCTTGGCCTCCCAAAGTGGTAGGATTAAAGGTGTGATCCACTGTGCCTGGCCCTAAAATACTACTTTCAATGGTAGAAAAATAACTTGAAAAGGTTTCTTTTTTTTTTTTGTTAGTTGGGGTCTCACTCTGTCGCCAAGGCTAGAGTACAGTGGCATACTCGTGGCTACCCCAGCGTTGACCTGCTGTGCTCCAGCAATCCTTTTGCCTCAGCATTCCAAGTCGCTGGAACTATAGGCATGCACTATCATGCCCAGCTAATTTTTTGATTTTATTGTGGAGATGAAGTCTCGCCAAGGTGCCTGGGCTGGTTTGAACCCACGGGCTCAGGCAGTCTACTTGCCTCGGCCTCTCATTGTGCTGGGATTACAGGGTGAGCCACCAAGTCCTGCCTGTAAAGGTTTTTATTTTTAATTTTTATTTATTTATTTATTTTTTGAGTTGGCGTCTCACTCTGTCGCCCAGACCACCTGTGCTCCTGGCCACCGCCGCCTTGACCTGCTAGGCTCTGGCGATCCTTCTGCCTCAGCCTTCCAAGTAGCCAGAATTACAGGCATGTGCTACCATGCCCGGATGATTTTTTGATTTATTGTAGAGATGAGGTTTTGCCAAGTTGCCCAGGCGTTTCTCGAACCCGTGGGCTCAGGCAATCCACTCACCTCAGCCTCCCAAAGCGCGGATTACAGGTTGAGCCACCGAGCTCGGCTCTGAAAAGGTTTTTAAGGACAAGATATTAGTAAATACATTAATTTTTCTGCCAAAATAGTTAATCAAATTAACTTAGAAAATTTTGTGAAAAATACTGTCTATGTATAGGCAGGTTAAAGGGCTGTTTAAAGTGCTAAGGGTGGCCAGGTGCCATGGCTCACACCTGCAATCCAGCATCCATAATCCCTGCACTTTGAAGTCCAAGACGAGACAATTACTTGAGCCCAGGAGTTTGAGATCAGCCTGGGCAACATAGCGAGACCTTGTCTTCACAAAAAATAAGAAAATTAGCCGGACATGATGGTTAGCACCCATAGTCCCAGCTACCAAGGAGACTGAGGTGAAAATATCACTTGAGCCCACGAGTTTGAGGCTGCAGTGAGCTGTGATCATGCCAGTGCACTCCATTCTGGGTAAAAGAGTGAAACCCTATCTCAAAATAATGATAAAGTGCTAAGGGAGTGTTTTGAGATCATTGTAAACCACTTTTCCACATGCCTTTTTGTAGTAGAGTATACAATGGATGCCTCCCAAGTTTTCATCTTTGGACTTGTTTTCTCAGGAAGAATAATTTACATAAGGCTGGGTGTGGTGACTCAAGCCTGCAATCTTAGTATTTTGGAAGGTTGAGGTGGAAGGATTGCTTAAGCCTAGGAGTTTGAGACCGGCCTGGGCAACAAAGTGAGACCTGGTCTCTAAAAAATATAAAATTGGCTGAGCATGGTGGCACATACCTGTAGTCCCATCTGTTTGGGAGTCTGAGGTAGAAGGTTCACATGAACCCAGGAGGTCACTGCTGTGATGAACCAGGAGCAAACTACTGCACTCTATCCTGGATGACTCAGTGAGACCCTGACTCAATTAAAAAAAAATTTATAAAAAAATGATAAATACAAAGTATCGCCTCTTAATTTTTTAAATGTGTTTAACTTCTCTGGTGTGCTGTGGTTACAGTATTAGAATTATTATTGATTTAATTTATTTTAATTATTTATTTTCTTTTTTTTGAGTTGGAGTCTCACTCTGTCGCCCAGACTGGAGTGCAGTAGCCGCTCCCGGCCACTGCAGCCTTGACCTGTTGTGCCCCGGCGATCTTTCCATCTCAGCCTTCCGAGTAGCCGGAATTACAGGCATGTGCTACCATGCCCAGCTAATTTTTTTGGATTTATTGTAGAGATGAGGTCTGACCAAGTTGCCCAGGCGGGTCTCGATCCCGCGGGCTCAGGCAATCCACTCACTTCAGCCTCCCAAATCGTGGGACTACAGGCTGAGCCACCGAGCCCGGCGATTTAATTTATTGAAGGAAAGTGGTTTTTAGAAAGGAAATTTAGCTTGGTGCAGTGACTCATGCCTGTAATCACAGCACTTCGGGAGGCAGAGGCGAGAGGATTGCCTGAGCCCATGGGTTTGAGATCTGCCTGGGCAACTTGGCAAGACCTTGTGTCTACAATAACCAAAAAAATTGACTGGCATGGTGGTGCACACCTGTGGTTCTAGCTATTTGGAAGGCTAAAGTGGAAGGATCACCTGAGCTTAGCAGATCAAGACTATGTTGGCCGTGAGTGTGCTACTGTACTTCAGCCTAGGCGACAGAGTGAGACTTCTACTCAAAACAAAAGAAAATAATAGAAACAAAAAAAGAAAGGAAACTTAACAGAACATTAGTGTTGCTTCCTTTGATTAGTCGCTTGAGTTCATCTGCATGTCTTGGTGACGCTCCAGTTATTGTCCTATATTGTTTTTTTATTGAAGGATAGTACACAGAAAATTACACATATCATGGGTATGCAGCTCGATGAGTTTTCACAAACTAAACACACCTATGTAACTTGCATTCAGAAAATTACACATATCATGGGTATGCAGCTCGATGAGTTTTCACAAACTAAACACACCTATGTAACTTGCACTCAGATTGAGAAACTGAATACCACCAACACCCCAGATGCCTCCCTTGTGGCCCCTTCAAGTCATTATCCTTCCTCGGGTAGCTATCATCCGGTCATCATTGCATTGTGGGAACTTGTGTTTTAGGATTCAGATCATAACCAGATTTAAGCCATGCAAGAGTCTCAGTATCTTTTAACTGAATCATTGACCTGTTGGCTAATTTTCTTGCCTATCTCATCGTTTTTACCACAAATGACCTTTGGCTGTAAAATGAAAATTACACTTAAAAAATGTGTTTTCATGATGGGAAATGCTTCAGATTAACACATCTAGAAAGTATATTTCTAAACTTTGGATTTTTTTTCCCTTACAGACCACCAAATCCCATTGAATTTCTAGCATCTTATCTTTTAAAAAACAAGGCACAGTTTGAAGATCGAAACTGATTTTTTGGGAAGAACAGAGAAATTTGGTTGCTACTGTAGATTTACATGATTAAGAGGCAGCTTTAATTGCCATGATTATCCCCCTTTTTTGGAAATGTACGAACCTTCAGGACAACAGAACTTATTTCCGGAGTTACAGAAGAGAACATATTTCCCTTATTCTGTTTTAATTACCATACTTATTTAACGAGAGTATTCTGTGCAATTTTTCCCAGATTGTCTTTAACTTTGTTTTTAAAATGTCCTTCAAAATAAACTGTCAAAATGTTATTTTAAAGTAGTTTTTGTTCTGTATGACCACTATTTTATTTGGTTGAATTGTTTTTATGAATTGCTTCTTTCTTGTGTCTTTTGAATGCTGCAGAATTTTACAGTGAAAATACAGCAGGGCCAAGGATAATGGAAAAAACTCAAGCAGTTTTGCTCAGCACTGTCCCTGGACCTTTTTGAGGGTGGGATCTGGGCATCTTCAACGGCTTAACAAATACCAAAGGTGATTCTAATGCACAGTAAAGTTGGAGTACTGATAAAAAGCATTGCAGAGGGTGTGTACTATCCTCCATTGTCATCGACCTTTGTGGTCATAATAGCTCTCATTTATTGCAGTCCTACTATGTGTCAAACACAGTACTATTTTACTTACCTCTGATATGGCAGCTCTGCAAAGTAGATATTATTATTCCCATTTTGCAGACGAGGAAACAGACTTGGAGAGGTTACGTGACATGCTCAAGAGGACACTGCAGGTAAGTACTTGAATGGGAATTCCAATTCTTCCAATGTAGTGCCGATAGTGAAGCGAGAAGATGTGTGCAGCTTAACGTCATTGCTCTTTGCAATAAAAAGCAGTGGCCGCTCTTCGGGGGCTCTCTTCATTGCCCCCTGTGAAGAAATGGAGACATCTCACTCATTCTGAAAATAGGAAAGTTGTCTAAAGGGGCCCCAAAGAAATAAAACCATTCACTTGAGCAGTGGTTTTCAAATGGGAGCAATTGTACCCCCACACCCAGAGGACATTTGGTGATGTCTGGACACATTTTGGTTGGCACACTGGAATCTAGTGGAGAGAGGCCAGGGATACTGCCAAACATTTTTTTTTTTTTTTTTT